CTCTTCTTCAATTTGCACAAACTTAAATATTTTTTGTAAGGCAGCTAATTTGTTATGAGCAAGAAAATATTTTTCAGAGAAGTAATATATCATATCCTGGGGACTACGCACACAACCAGGAGCAAGGGTATTAACCATTTCTTAGCATCAACCTTTAATGAGAAAGGAAACAACTTAAGAATATAGTAATAGAGATTTTTCCCTCATGAGCAAATAGGGTGGCTATATCATTTAATTTAGTAAGGTTTGCCACAACAGCTTCAATTACATATCCATGAAAAGGATCAGATTCAACCAAAGTAATTAACTCAGGATCGACAGAGAATTCATAATCCTTATCAGTAACAAAGATAGGAGAAGTAGCAAACTTAGGATCAATTTCATTCTCTCCATCATAAATTTTTATTTAAGCTTACTCGATAATTTCTTCGCATCATCTCTATCATTACAAGCAAGAAATTCTCTAGCTATCTCCTCATCCATAATATAACCATCAGGTATTTCAACTCCAGTGCGACAACTAAGCATAATAGGTTAATCATAATTTTCATTAGTTTCAGCTAGGCAGAATAGCAAGTTGTTCATCAATAAATTCTCTTGGTGGCATAGTATCATCAAGCAGAGCACTAGCATCATCACAAGTTTCATTTATAGCGGAAGTAGTATCATCGATTACTTGCTATGTATCAAAATGGATAACAGGTGGTGGTGTCGCAAGCCTACTCAAAACAAATGATGAATCAAGTGCGGAGCTAGATGGTAGTTCCTTACCTCCCCTCGTATTAGAGGGTACGATCTTAGTCTTAAGTGTCTTTCAGATTCTTATCGTGTAAAATCCCAAGTGAACTCAATATATAGAGCTATGCTCCCCGGCAACGGCACCAGAAAAATATCTTGATTACCCACAAGTATAGGGGATCATGACAATCTTTGAGGGTAGTATTTCACCCAAATTTATTGATTTGACACAAGAGGAGCCAAAAAATATTTATGATCCTTAGTAGTTGAATTGTCAATTCAAACCCACCTGGGAAATTTTACCGCTACAGCAAACTGTTTAGTAGCACAGTACTTTGATAGTTTTGATAGTAGCGGTAACAATAGCAATAGTAAGAGTAGCAGTTTGTGATGATTTCAACAACAACTGCAGAGTAACTTAGCAAAGATCAATATGAGAAAAGCTTTGGCATTGGATCAGTGATGGATATTTGTGTTGGATGACATTCATCATATAACAGCCGCAACCTAGAGCAATACACAATAGCTCCAATTCATCAATGTAATGTAGGCATGTATTCCGTATATAGTCATATGCGCTTATAATAAGAACTTGCATGCCATCTTTTGTCCTACCCTCCCATGGCAGTAGGGTCCATAGGAAAATATAAGGGATGCCTCCGTTTAATAAAGAACAGGAACAAAGCATTAGCACATGGTGAGTACACGAACTCCTCATACTACGGTAATCACCGGAAAGAACCTCAATTGCTGTCATCTTGGGGTATGCGGATCATAACACGTAATAGGTGCATACAACTTGCAAGATAGGATCAAGAACTCAAATATATTCATCAAAACATAAATGTTTCAGATCTGAAATCATGGCACTCGGGCCCTATTGACAAGCATTAAGCATAGCAAAGCCATAGCAACATCAATCTCAGAACATAGTGGATACTAGGGATCAAGCCCTAACAAATTGATTCAATTACATGATAAATCTCATCCAACCCATCACCGTCCAGCAAGCTACGAAGGAATTACTCACTCCCGATGGTGAGTATCATGGAATTGTTGATGGAGGATGATTGATGATGACGACGGCGCCGAATCCCCCTCTCCGGAGCCCAGAACGGACTCCAAATCAGTCCTCCCGATGAAGAACATGAGGTGGCGGCGGCTCCATATTGTAAAACATGATGAAACTTTCTCTCTGATTTTTTTATCTGCGAAACCGTATTTATGGAGTTGGAATTAGGGCAATCGGAGGGTCGAGGGACCCACAAGCTCACAGGGCGCGCCCCTGAGCTTGTGGCTCCTGGGTGCCCCTCTCCAGTAGTTCTCTTCACAAATATTTTTTATATATTCTGGAAATATTCTCCGTAAATTTCCATCTCAATCCGAGAACTTCTATTTCTGCAAAAAAAAACACCATGGCAACTCTGCTAAAAACAACGTCGGTTCAGTTTAGTTTCATTTAAATCATGCAAATTAGAGTTCAAAACAACAACAAAAGTGTTTGAAAAAGTAGATACGTTTGGGACGTATCATACTCTGATGTGTAGGCTCGGCTTTTACTCCAAGATGGTGACGTGCTTGGTCTGCGTAGGAGGACATTGGGCCATGGACTTGGCCCACCCTGAGACTACTCGGCCTTGTTCGTCCTCCTTGACCATCAGGGCACACGGCTTATATACTGTGTAAGTCGAGTGCTATCTCATGGCAAACGGCTTATTAAAGCCGAGTGCTACCCTGCGGCACACGGCTTATAGGATGCTCCGTGACGGTGCCGTCAGCCACCTCCGTTGTCGACACGTGGCAGATGTGTTTGCCGAATGCCTGCTGGAAGCCGAGTGCTTTTGCCTGTAGATACCTTGTGCTCCCTATAAGCCTAGGGCTTTTTTGCTACACTCGGCTTATAGATGGCTATAAGCCGAGTCCTTCGTATTTGCCATGTGTTTTTTTTTTTTTTGCCTAGACACGGCGTAGAGGCATATAAGCCGAGTATCCGAAAAAAAGCTCTTGGCTTATAGCCTAACACACGGGAAAACAGGATTTTTCTGTAGTGAGGCAATTACTAAAAAGAAAAAGGATACATCTAGACGGCACAATATAGCTATACTGCAAGGTCCAGATAAATCAAGTGTTCTCGCGCTATACGTACCTAGAAATTTAAATAACTACTGGGCGCACCACATGCAGATTCATCACCTGCTGCAGCAGCAGCAGCAGCAGCAGCGATCGTTATGAGACGACGTTGCATTCCTTGACCATACCCGTCAGCACATTATTATTATCTCAACGGATGAGGAGGATCCATGTGTGAGTCGCTCCTTGACCAGACGTCTGCGAGCTTCATCCACCTGGGATCTCCTCGGGTCAATGGCATCGCATTGCTCACATGGGTGTACACCATACATCTCGATTCTCTTCAATCCCGCAGCTCGCTCCATGACTAGCCTTATGTAGTTTGTCACTTTGTCTTTCTCCTCGAACCCGGACATCAACAGCGACTTCAAGTTCAGGTGCTTCAAATTCTTGGATGGGTCCCACACAACATTGGTCTTCTCGGCGCTGTCCTCGACCGTTCCGACACATGCATACCGATCTCGGGACAACTTCATGCATGGATGATTGACATACAAAGTAAACAATACATGGTACAATTAAACTCGCAACCAACCCATGCATGCAGGAAAGCATATATATAGCAACAATTGCAGTTAAACATCTTTGCCATTTAAAATTTTGCAAGAAGATCAATACTACCATCTAGGTAAGTTTAGGCCCCTCCAAAGCTTTTGAAAAATGTGCATGAACTAAATCCTGCATGTAAGTGATGCACATGAATATGCTTCAGCGCAGGTGCAGCTTCAAGGATAAACAGGGTCCAGCTCACATCACACTCGGGAAAGATGGATAAAAGTTCCACACACGTCAGGTTTTTTAACATAGCAGTGAGATGCTTTGGACGTTCTGGCTTAATCCAAATCTGCAGCAAGAAGAAGAACACAGTAGACAGCTAACACTTAGTAGAGAAGAAGAAGAATGCACAATATTTAGAAGCATGCGAAACTCGTGCAATGAATAGAAATTAACTAACCATTTGGCAGCAAAAATTAATAGTGAGTTTAGACAGGTTTGTGGCACTCCTTGACAGGCACTCGCTCAGCAAGAATGGCGCCTGCCACGTCATGGAATGACAACTGAAGGTCACATCGCGAAGGTCTGGAACGTAGCCGAAGCTCACAGGAGGGTTCCCCCAGTGCCATGATTCGCACGACACTTGCCTGAGCTTGGGGACAGCGACAAGCTCGACCCGCGTGCAAACAACGCGGAACAAGTCGAGCACCTGGAGCCCAGAACACGGCGTGTCGATCTTGACCGTGGAGTGCTCGTCGTCTACTATGCAGTATCTAAGGGTAAGGTGCTTGAGCTTGTCGCAAGACATAATGATCTCGGCCACGTCGGTGTCTCCCAACATGAGTTGCGTGAGAGTTAGCACGGTGAGCCACCGGAAGGCAACCGGGCAGGCACGGGAGAAGGACATGAACTGCCGCGCGGACTCGGTAGGCACCCCGCCAGGGAGTTCCTTGCGTGGCGAGCGTATGTAAAATTCAAGACATTCAGTCTCGCCGCGGGCGACGACGTCCTCGACAGCGCGGCCTATGAAGCTCAGGTGATGAGGGTCCGACTCAGGGAAGAAGTCGAGCAGGAGGGTCTTGATGGCGCGCTTGCACTCGGCGGGAGCCGGAGGAGATAGTAGCCTGCACATCGCTGCCGTGAACGCCTCCATGGTCGCGACCGGATCAGTCGCTCCGCCGAAGTGGCGGACGTCGAGGTGCAGGCGCGAGAGCCGGTGGGGGAGGTGCCGCCACCGCGTGGAGACTGCGCTGGCGCGGACCGCGTCGCGCAGGTCGAGGCGCTCGAGGATTCCGAGGAGGATGTCGTCGGTGAGCGCGTTGATTCTGTCCTCGTCTGGGTCGTCGATGTTGAACTTGTCCGGCGGCGGTGGCGGCGGCGACGAGATTCGGAGGCCGGTTGAAACCTTGGTTAGAAGCAGAACCAATCGCTTGTATGCGGCCCGGAGCCGTAGGCGCGGCTCCTCCGGCGCTCCGCTCCACACGTCCAGCGTCCCGCCCGTGGATCTGGACGGAACGGAGGAAGCCACCTCCGTCGGGCGGCCAGGTCGGTGCGTCTGACTGTCCCTCCTAGATTCCCCTCCGGCCGGCCGGGGCGCTGCCGCTAGTCGCCCTTTGATCCACCTCCGTCGCGGGGCCAGGTCTAACATCTCACAAATATTTTCTTGTTTGTGGCAGAGAAATATGTGGATCTGAAAATAGCAGACAATATATAACAGCCGGTGCATGCAGTCTTGGGCTCTTGGGTAAGCAAGCACCAAGGATTTTGCATGTCCACTCCTCTTTATGCATGCGCTCGAGTTCTGAAAGCCATGCCCGGATGCAACAGCAGCCTCCGTGTTGAGTATATATTTTGTATTGCACGTGTATTGAAGTTGTGGCTCATCTCCTAATCTTGTATAGTTGAGATAAAGGTCTTCCTTTGTATTATATATGCGTGCACCAACATCCCAATCAATACATCGTATTGCAAATCATCTGTCTACATAGTATCATCTTTTTCGGTCTAACCTAGGGTAGCCACCGCCGCCGCCGCCGCCCGCCCACCTCCTCGCTTCCGCCTCCCGCCCGCTAGCTTCTACCTCCCACGCCCGTGCCGTTCGCTAGCTTGTTGATCCCGCTGGCTGCTACCTCCGCACGCCAAGACACGTTCAAGTCGCCTGTTCTCGTGTGCGTGTCTTGCATAGCTAGCAAATCCATCAAGTCAAGGCTAGCTATCTTTGCTAGTCAACTACGTCTCGCCGAATTGTTTCTGATGCGCCTGGTTAGCTCCGGCTGCTGCGTACCCGCGCGCCGTCAGCCGCGTTCCGTGCTACCGCAAGTCGCTCCGCGCTCGCATCTCCCTGCAGCTGCCATCGCCGCCGCGCCGCGCCTCCTCGCGCGCCGTCACCGCCGCCACTCCCTACTGCCGCCGCCGCCGCGCCGTAGCTTGCCACCGCCGCCACGCAGCGCCTCCCTGCGCGCGCCGCCGCCGCCGCTTCTCACCTACCGTGCCGATGCCGCCCCGTCGCGCCACCACCCTAACCCGACGCGCCGCCGCCGCCGCGCTCCCGCGTCCGCCACCGCCCCCTTCCTCTTCCCGCCGCTTCTAACGCCTTCCATGAACTCTTCGGGCTGCTTCACCATCTGCGGTGGACCCGCTCCACCGGCCGCGCCGATCCCGCACCCGCCGGTTGTTACCGTTGTCGCCACCAGCGCCTCCCCCGCAGCACCCGCAAGGGGGATGGGGCCGACGCAACCGGCGTGGCGGCGGTCACCACCGCCTGCAGCAGCAGCGGGCCCAAGACACCGGGGAGGCGCCGCACTACCAGCAGGCTCTTCCCGCTGGCCACCAGGCGTTCATCGGCGGCCCTTCCAGCCGACTGGCGCCGGCTACGGCGCCCTCCTTGCGCCGCCGCCCCTCAGTGGTTATGGCCGACCCGTCCCGGCGTCGCCCTACGGGGGCCTTCCGCCGCCGCCGGTACCTGTGCCATGGGACCCCACCCTCCTCGCCGCCCAGCACTCCGCGCCGTCGTTGAGTAGCTCTGTCGGTGGAGGCGACTGGTACATGGACTCAGGTGCTACTGCGCACATGGCAGCTCATCCCGGTAACCTAACCTCCTCCACTCCCGTTCACACACCCACTCGTATCACTGTCGGCAACGGCTCCTCCTTACCTATTACTCATATCAATAGCACTAGCTTTCCCTCCACTTCCACACCCATCGCTATGTCTAATGTTCTTGTTTCACCTGATTTAGTCACAAACCTAGTTTCAGTTCGTCGTCTTACTCGTGAGAACCCCCTTACTGTTGAATTTGACGGTGTTGGCTTTTTTGTGAAAGACGCCCGTACCCGGATGGTCCTTCACCGATGTGACAGTCCCGATGAGCTCTACCCAGTGCAAGCCGGCGCCTCCACCCCCACACCCGTCGCCCTTGCCGCCGGCATTGACCTTTGGCACGCTCGCTTGGGTCACCCCAACCACACCGTCTTATGTCAAATTCTTAGGAGTTTCTCTTTCTCATGTGATAAGCTCGACGAGCACTATTGTGAGGCTTGTCGCTTAGGCAAGCACGTTCGTCTTTCCTTTATTGCGTCTTCTTCAGTTTCCACTTTTCCGTTTCAATTACTTCATAGTGATGTTTGGACATCAACTGTTGCGAGTAACACGGGCTATCTTTACTACTTGGTGCTTTTAGATGATTACTCTCATTATGTGTGGACTTTTCCCCTTCGTTGTAAATCCGATGCTTTAGCCACACTCACCACCTTTTACTCCTATGTCACCACCCAGTTTGGTCGCCCCATACTCGCACTCCAAACTGATAACGGAAAAGAGTTTGACAACGTCGCTCTTTGCTCACTTCTCGCCTCTCACGGCACCACCTTCCGTCTGACTTGCCCTTACACTTCACAGCAGAACGGCCGCGCCGAGCACATTCTCCGCACACTTAGTGACTGCGTTCGCACGTTGCTCTTCACGCTAACGTGCCCGCTCGGTTCTGGCCCGATGCCCTCGCCACCGCCTCTCTCTTAGTCAACATTCATCTGTGTCGTCCCCGGTGGAACTACGCCCCTCACCACCTTATTTTCGGTACACCACCGTCCTATGATGGCCTTCGCATCTTTGGTTGTCTCTGTTATCCTAGCACCACGTTCACCACGCCACACAAGCTTGCACCCTGCTCCGTGTCATGCATCTTCCTTGGCTACCCTCCTAACACCAAAGGTTACCGGTGCTATGATCATGTCACTCATCGTGTGTACTTCGTCGAGATGGTGTTTCCTTTTTTTCAGGTTCCTCCGGCCACGGCTCCTTCGGCTCCGGCCCCCGCACCCCCCGGCGGCCCCTCCCCCGGCCCGGCGCCTTCTGCCTCCCCCTCCCGGGTTCTCGACTCCCTCACCCAAGGTTGAGTCCGACCGGGCCCCCGGGTCCCCGGCTCCCTCGCCCGAGGTCGAGCCCACGGGCACCCCACCCGCCACCCCGGCCGGCGCCGCTACTCCTGCGACGGGCTCGACCTCGACCTCGCCTGTCGCCTCCTCCGCGGCTGGCTCGGCTGGCACCGTCGCGGCCTCTGACGCCATGGCCCCCGCCCCTGACACCACGGCCCCCACCGCCGCGGGCGCCCCTGTTGTGGCCGTGGCCCCGTCGCCGATGTGGCCCCTGCTGCCGCGGCACCCGCCGCCCTCGCCGGCCCGGTCACCCGTGCCTGTGCAGGAGTGCATCGGCCGAGCACGCGCTATTCCTCTGACGAGTATGCGTGTGCTGCCTCGACATCGACGCTATCACCCATCCCCACCTCCGCTCGTGCCGCCCTTCGGGATCCCCATTGGCTGGCTGCGATGCAGGAGGAGTTCGACGCCCTGCAGCGCAACCGCATGTGGCAGCTTGTTCCGCGCCCCCCTCGTGCCAACATCATCTCTGGCAAGTGGGTGTTTCGCCACAAGACTCGCCCGGACGGTTCTCTCGAGCGTTACAAGGCTCGATGGGTGGTTCGTGGCTTTCGGCAACGCGCGGGTGTGGACTTCACCGACACCTTCGCCCCAGTTGTGAAACCGGGCACGATCCGCGCCGTCCTTCAGCTGGACGTCTCGCGCTCCTGGCCTGTGCATCAGTTGGATGTTTCCAACGCCTTCTTGCACGGTCAT